GCGAGAGGCAGGGTACACCCTGGACAGTCCGCCAGTCCTTTGCAGGGCCACACACAGGACATACAAGGACAAACAACCACTCACACTCACATTCACTCCTAAGAGCAATTTCCCCAATCTCCAATCAGCTTAACATGCAGGTTTTTGGACTGTGGGAGGAAGCCGGAGAGAACCCACGCAGACACAAGGAGAACATGCAAACTCCACCCAGAAAGGTCCTGATTCCCCCGGGATTCGAACCCAGAACCCTCTTGCTGGGAGGCGGCAGTGCTAACCACCACACCACCGTGCCACCCAGATGTACCAAGTTTTATTCATTTTAACCGATAACTAGATTTATCCCTGAAGGAAGCAACACTGAGACTACCATAAAGGAAGGAAAACAATTATTTTTTTCCCCATCATTTTGCCATTTTGATGCTAGAATTCAACAGCCTTACAAATCCCCCATCTCTTTCCTCTATTCTCACCACTTCAGCAGAAGATGGCTTCCACTCCAGGGCTGTTTTCCAATTATGGTTCACCTTTTACAGAGTGGGTCATTATCATTAGAGATCCATTTAGCTTTTCTGTGAAAAAGGACAAAACATTTTTTGTGATTGTGGTCTCAGGAAAAAAGAAAAAGAAAGAGAAAAATTGCTGCAATAGCACTGATCTCAAGTGGCTCTATTATTATGGTTGGGTGGACAAGTTGGGGGGACAGGTTGCATGCATTGATGTCTTGACTGTGGGATAAGACTAGCATTTTGCACATTGCAACTCATAAATGGAAAAAGACATCTTCAAAATAGCTCCTAAGAACAATACCAACCTTGTATGTGTAAGAGAATATATTGATTAAAAGGGGGTCTTTAGTGTGAGTAGGTGTTTGAAAAAATAAATTCTTCATGTATGCTATAAAGCAAAGTTATGCTGCAGAGAACTGTTTCCAAGGCCAAACTAAGACTGTCTTTATTAACATGCCACGAAATAACCTGCAAATTAATCAATGATCATGTCACATGACATGAGGTGGACTATAATAAACTGCAAAAATTATGTCAGAAAATGAAATATATGGTTTTGATTATTTTATAGAGGAGATATAAATACAGAAAGCAAGTGTTTGATTGTAATCTTTTGTAATATGTAATTGCAAACACGTGTTGTTGTTGTTGGAGTGGATGGCCTTTATTTGGAATTTTGCAGTGTATAGAATGCAGTCCAGCATGGTGTTGTGTTCTTGGGGGAAAAGCAATTGCACAGTCTGGCAGACCAGCTTCTGATGCGGTGGGCCCTTCTTTTAAAATACATGAGACTGTGTTTTTGGAAACAGCTCCCAAAATGGATTCCCTCTGCAACCATGCTACATAGAATATATACAACATTACATTTTCTTCCCTCTCTGCATTCTGGAAGCAGATGGCTGGGGACCAACACTTCAAAGCGGTGAAAACCAACTAATTGGTTTGGGGGAAATCGATATGGAGCAAACCCCTCCACTCCCTTCACAATCTATCAGTCTTGCACTGCAATTATCCCATTGATTGGCCAGTGCTAATTACAGATCTCATTACCGTAGGTTTCCGGCAGTTGCTATCCAAATGTTTTTAGAATTTTGAGGCAAAGTGTTTCTTTCAATGCATTCCATGAATAAGGGAAAAGAGTTGATATACTTGTTATACTGACCCAAAATGTGACAATACACAGTAAAAGACAAGTAAGACTAAATAAGTTACATAAAGCATCAAAATAGCATCAAGCAGTTAGAATAAATCTAGGGACTACTGCCAAGACTTTGCATTGACCTGAGGTTCATACTGTACATTATAGCTCCTCAAGAAATTGTCATTTCTTAAACAGTAAGACCAAATGACATGTGTTAAGAGCAATTGCATTAACATAATTCTTAATGGAAAAAAATGTTGCCTCTGTAATGAAGCACTTCGTGTTTCTGTACCATCCAAGATGGCCTCTTAAATCTTTATAAAGATACCTAAAAATGTTTTTCTACATGTCACTTTAAGGTTAGTACTTTATAAGATGATGCCATAAGTAATAACAGTATGAACAGTCTAGTTATATGATCTTAGCAATTTAAGGAGACGGTTTCATCTAACCAGTTGAAGGGCTTAGGGTTCATTTGATGCACAGTAAAGTTTGAAGGGATTTTTGTAAATGTTATCAGTAATAGTAAAAGTCCATACTTCTGTTGCCCAAAAGACCTGCTACAAATACTAAATAGACCCACTGTCATTAAGAATAATAACAAAATCAACACCCCACAAGCCAACTCACCTAAGATGGATACAGTAGAACCTTTACTTACGATTGCCTAAACATACAAATATTCCAACATCTGAAGTGAAATTTAATCAAATATATTTGACTTGACACCCAAAGTAAATTTCCTACATACGTATGATGTCGAAGTCATAGAAAAAATATATATATAAAAATTACATTAAAAAAAAATAAGCTAAGTTAGTTCAAAGTTTACGTAGTAAAAGTTAGAGTCACCAGCTTTACCTCCACACCGACCGTCTCCTCTGATCCTCCGTTCCCCCTGCATCGCTAAGCTGCTCCTCCGTTCGCAAGTCGTTTAGGTAAAATGCCAAAAAAAAATGTTCTTATTTCTTTAAAATCTATTTCTTTTTACATCTCTCTTATATAATGCATTTGTTTTATTACTATGTATAATTATCTGCAGTATTTATAAAGGAGTTATAGGTTTTTGGGCTGTAAACACTATGCTGTGTTGACACCGCACGTAAACAGGGTGCGGTGTCAACGGTTCCACGGCTACGAATGGTGATACTGCTGGCAAGTTGGCAAGTGGTTGTAATTCCAATCCAGGCGTTTTCGCAAGCGGCTTAGGTGTATTTTAACAAACATATAAATATTTTAACACATGAAGTAGGTCCCTGAATTAATTAACTTCATATGTAGAGTTTCTACTGTACCTGGTTTCAAACGGCTCATTCGGACTCTTCACTCTAACTAAATAAATTCCTTCTACCGTATTTCTTCCGTCTTCTTCCTGGATGAGGACCAGCCTGGCGAGTCTTCGTTAGCGTCAGGGATACAGGCCTGTAGCTGCTGAGGTCCTTAAGATGTCCGCATAGCAAGTCTTCCACAGTTTTGGTACTTTCCACAGCTTCAGGCTCAGGTTGAACATGAATCCCATGATGCCACACACTTGATTTGCACAGCACCACAGAAAAATGAGACTTATGCCATCCTTTCACACCTTGATCTTTTGCAGCTCGTTCATTCCTCTGTTAAAATGGACAAGACGGGGGTGGGGGATGGGGTCCTGAGAAGAAAAGCTGGCATTTAGAGGTGGTGGGGCTGACAGCAGGGGGACTGGGCTGGGGGAAGAACGGGTGACTGCTCAAACCAGTTGGTTCAAGTCATCTACCCACTGTAAAAATCCTACAACTTGAGGGCTTGGATGTTGTCTTTAGACTTCTCCAGACCCTACTGAGGTGCTCTGCTGCAGCTGATCCTCCAACTTCTTCCTTTAGATTTTTTTTCCATCCCTGATTTTCCTTCTCAGTTCCCTCTGCACAGACCTCAGCTCCTTTTTGTTTCCTGATGTAAAGGTTCTCTTCTTTAGGAGAGTCTGTATTTCAGAGGGAGCCCTTATTTCAGGGGGACTTGATTAGCTTGAGCCACTGCCTTTATACCCCTTAACATTCCCTCCTTCCCACGAATCTGCTCCACAACAAGCTTTTTCTTCTCTCTTCTTTGGGACCTGTTCTACTCCACACTGGGTTTGCCCGGGCCAAGTCCCAAGCCTCCCCGACCTAATTTAACATTACCCACAATCTCTCCATTCCTAAGACTTGCTTCTGCTTACAAAACTCTTCGTCATCTATCACAAACTTTCTATCACTTAACTTCCTTCTACTGTTTAAGATGCTTCTGGACTTACTAGGCTTGATTTATTATACCAGCCCAGATTGTTATTATTGCTCTCAAATATTCTCCTCATACATGATACTGTTGTTCTCCTTGACATCATATCATCCATGTAATCCCAATCGGTCTATCTACTATGCTGTGTCTTTCTCCACCTACAACCTACTAAGAAGTTTAGAGAATTATCTCCATTGCCAGTTGTAAATGCTAATAGGGAAACCATACACCCTGCAATAATGCCTATTCATAGCTTTGACAACCTGTTATGAAACTGGCTATACTTAGGGACAGTCTAATGTGCTGTCAATTTTACAACTAGTACCAGCACTCTAAAACAATCAAACACTTTCTAAATAAGGCTATGTAGCACTCAACCAAATGCATTAACTAATCCAGAAATCTAAGATTAAAGTTCCTTTTCCCAGTCTTGGCTGTCTGAATCTGATGCAAGGTCATGCTAGTGTGCTCTAAAGACAATGCAAAATTGGGTATTTCTGTGTTCTGCACAGTGGTATCTATTAAGCCATTGCATTAAAGAAATTCTTCCCCTATACAAAGGAACAGAAAGAGTCCTGTGAAGGGTAATTCCTCTACAGTAATTTCACTTCACGAAAAAATGAGGTACATGTCTATGTATGGGATTGGTTAACATTGGCGGCAAACCTTTAGCCGAGTTTGTTAGGTGTTTAAGCATTATGTCTGCTGTTTGAATGAGATTTTTCCCTGAGCCTGCTAATGTGTCTTGTCCTCCACCTCAATATTTACATTTATTTTTCTATCTATAAATTAATCGATCTATCCCTTCATTGAACACAGATGGATGGATGGATGGATGGATGCATGGATGAATGGATGGATGGATGGATGGATGGATGGATGGATGGATGGATGGATGGATGGATGGATAGATAGATAGATAGATAGATAGATAGATAGATAGATAGATAGAT